AGTAGAAAAATCAGCATCTTTTCAGTAGATATAAAAGATCAATTGGCAATTTCTTCATATTATCGAAGATACTAAGTAATAAACTTAGGTCATGTTGAATATTCCTTCTCTTAGATGCTATCTTAAAAGCCAACAAGTGGTTACGGCTGCCATCGAGGTGGGAATCGGGCAATGTGTGATAATGACAACTTCATATAAATATATATACAAATATATATATAATATAATATATATAATATAATAATAGCTGAATTTTCTTATTAGAAATGGTAGGTGTCTTTGCTAATTAAGTTCGAATTTATCTTCATACCCTTTACCACACGCGAACATATGAATAGGCGAACGTATTTACTTATTTGCTTTCAGAAATTGAGACTGCCCAAGAATTTATATACTTTGTAAGAGGTGTTCTCATGTTACGCAGTACTATGGGCGCATCCTTCGACCGATTTGGCCTATTTTCAATATCAATCTGCGTGGAATAACTTACAATATTTCTGCTGCGTTCGAAGCCGATTGCATCATTTTTGCGGCCAGGAATACAGGCTTACAACATATATTGGTACACACGGACAGATAACTAGATGGACAGACCGATAAACTTAAATCGATTCAGTTTTTAATGCCAATCAAGAATATATACACTAGATGGTCTCTGAAGCCTCCCTCTGGTCATTGTAAAGGTTTTGGCAAAACGAATATACCCCTTTACAATTAGGTGATGTGAATTAAATGACACAGTACATTGGCAGATTTGGATGTGAAACTAATTTGTGAGGATTACATTAAAATTTTAAAATAAATAAATAAAACCTTTGAGAATTTTGCTTTGCACAATCGAGTTGCTCTCAGATGTTGTCTTGGCTCCCTTGGTTCGGGGTAGGTTGAAACATCGACTACATATATATTTTGTACGAGCTCAACTAAAATGCGTCACAAAGAGAAGATTTCAAATGTTGATTCGTTCGAAATTCGTGGTGTAAGATATTCACATTGCTCGCAAGATGATTATCCATTAATGAATGAATTCGTGCCTCGTCCGTAATAACTCACAAACCATATGTAAATAAGAAGCAATAAATACGATATTTGGTTCGTGCGCATATTTGTGTAGGGTATGCTTTAGCTTTTCATCTTGCAATAAAATATCATATAAATGCGTCTCAATATAAATATGTATATACGCATTCATACTTGTATACAAAATAATTAATTGTTATTTATTGAAAACTTTTCTCAATTTTCCTTTGGCGATCATCGTAAAGATTAGATTGAGTTAAGCAATTTTGAGTTCAAATTATTACATACATATATTCAATCTTTAAATGTGAAAATTCGTCTTTTGATTTTCATTGATTAATTTGAACGTTACTCTGACGCTGCAAATCGATGCATGTAAAACGTTAACAGCTCTTATGACACCAACGAGCAATGAATACATCACACGATGACCGGTCGTATTAAGCTCATTCACCGCACAATCATTGCATAATTTGCTCGTAAACTCTGTTTTCTATTAATTAATATATGACAAATAACAGTCGATAGCTCTTTATATACCTCACATAACTTGTAGTACGCGGTATATTAGGTTTGTGCAGATGAAATTACAAAACACTTGCTTACACCATTATTTTGGGCATGTGCAAGTCATTATATTTAAGTTGAAATTTGCTACACTGGCACGTGGTCAGCCCTATTGAAAATAGATAGAAACGGCTAATTTTTAGGACTACTCTCCGTATAATGGATAATTTTTAAGCAGTAATCAAAAAAAAAAAAAAAAAAAAAAAACAACTGAAAACACTATAGTGCAACACGACTCTCACCCTGGAGTACCCTATAACACTTTAAACGGTTACTCTTATATGAAAAAGTTATCCGATCTGAATCATTTTCAATAGTGCTCACTCATACTTGGGCCAAAACACATCGATGTACCAAATTGCACCAAGTTACCTAGAAAACTGATATTTGCTTGGTAAACACAAGCAAATAAGACAGACAGACGGACGGAGGGACAAACAAGCTTAGATCGATTCGATGCCCAAAATGATTCTGAATCGATCAGCATAACAAAAGGTGGATCTATTTCAAGTCCCTCTCAATGTTGCCTATGTCTGCACAAACTTATTACAACTTTATACTACAAGCATGGCCGGGTATAATGATTATGATATTAAAATGTGTCGACAAAAATCACCGAGTAACAGTATTATTACTGCATACTACACTGATGTGAAAAATTTGAATATAATTTTTCCTACGAAAAGTGAACCTTCTTTGCGGCGAAACGGTATATATTTGAATAATTCACAATGAGTGAGGGAATAATGGTAGCTTGTTAAAAAAATCAATTATCCCAGATTTCCATCGTTTAAGTCTATTTTTTGCACCTTACCTCGTATAAATGCTCTCATGCAAAGGGGAAGTCTTTATATAGCAGAGAGATGTCATTTTCGAATCTTTTATAATGAAAAACGAGCCGTAAGAGATTCTATTAAATTTGGATTACGTAAGTCTATTTTTCGGACAACGTCTCATAAAAGAGTACAAAGGGCAAAGTATGCCCTTTACATGGCAACAACGTCTAATTTGTAATACACTAAGTGGATGGTAATAGGGTTTTTGACAAAAAAGCACCTTTTGCTCACTTTGGACCACGCTTAGGGGTCTCTTGCATACTTATTTCAATTCAGTTTAAGTTTGTGCAAACGGAAGGACTTACGATGGACTCATCTTTCATAATGCCAAACAACACAGATTATCTAAACTAATCTGTCAGTCTGTCTGTCTGTCTGTCCGTCTGCTGTGTCGCCCATCTATTTTTATGTTTAACCTACGGGCCGCAATTTTTGAGATATTTTGACCCAACGACGAACGCTTTTGAAAATGTTTCGGATCGGTGCACTTTTTTGACAACTCCCCCATATGAAGCGTTATTTCGAAAAGTCGCTATATAGAAAAATACTAGAAAACATTCAAAAATTTTCGACGAAAACCACTAAGTCACAATAATCCAACATTTTAAATTAATATGAAAAATTTGTTTCACCTTTGGCAATTTTTTTAACCCTTTCTAACCCTTTCCCCAGCTTTCATATAACCTTTCCTACGAAAATTGAATCTTTATATGATAAAAAAATGTACTTTTTATTATTTCATGATGAACATTGATTCATAATAGTGAATTTATAAAGAAATCAACAACCCTACCAAATTTGGTCCACGTATGTCTATTTTTTGTACACGACAACATATAACGATTCTTAGGAAATGTAAATCCCTATATGACAAAAAGGCCGAGTGCTTAATGTTTTATGATGAAAATTTTTTCATAATTTTAATCTGATATATAAAACTTAAGCGGACGAAATTTGAATCACATGCGTCTGATCCTTTCAGACCATGTAAGATTTCTCATGAGTAATCCTTTAAGTCCTTCAGAGAAAGATTGAATTTTTAATATTTTATAATGAAAATTATTTCATAAGAGCGATAGGAAAATTGGTTTACATAGGCTTACTTTCTAGACACCAACATCGAGCGAAAGTTAAATTTCGACTTTTTTACGATGAAAGTTGAAAAATAACATAATTTTTAGAAGGAAAATGAAATTTGTTAACTTAAGATTACGTCATGTGTTGTTTAAGAGATTCCCCCAATATACGGACTTTCATGCCTTTGCTAGAGAAGAGTGTGTAATTTTTGGTGTAGTATTCTGTCAATAATTGCACTACAGCTGTATTTAATGGCCGGGTATGCTCGACTATAATGTTTTTACTTGTTTCAATAATAATACCTCTGCGTGGGATTAAGACTTATTTTGCCTTAATTTTCCCTCATTTTCAATGAGAAACTTACGAAATATCCTTCACTGTTCTAACTCTGCGTACAGTATCGGAAATTCATGGATAGCTTAAGTTTCTTTCGCATTACTTGTCATACAACATAGGAGGTGTGAAAGCGGTCATAAATGGTTATGCAACTATTTATTTATTAGATGATGAATGGATAGATGAGAGAATGTAAATAATATTATACCGAATTGCTTTAGATGCGTTTGTCTATACGACCGCTTACCACCACAACAAGAAGGAGAAGAAATGAAAGAAGTGTATAATTATTATCGCGTTCAAGCGTTCGGAAACAGGCAGAGCGCAGTTAAATTAAAATGACTTGACCTTGAATGCATGCAAAATAAGTAAAATAGCAAAGCGAAAAAGCAAAAAGAAGTACAAAGAAAGCAATGGCTTATAGTCATGGTATGCATAAAAAACAACTTTAAAATAAAAGTAGGACAAAATAATTATCATAATCTGTACGTTCAAGTTAAATGCGATACAACGACTTTGATTTCTGTAAATATATTGTAACTCTACGTGCAGCCAGACAGATAGTCGGATAGATGAAAGAGATTTTGAAACTATGAAATTATATGGAAATAAATTTTGGAAATTTTAGAAAAATTTCACATTTTGACAAAAACCTATTCATTCATGATCGCTCCGACAGGATTATTTCACATTTTTAATTAGCTTCAATTAATAAAATGATTTAAAGTTTCCAATCGCTTTAGTCCTTTACTATCGATGTCGTCTCGATCACAAAAACTTTAATAATTGAAAAGAAAATCCATAATTCATATTTAGCTACTAAATGTTCGATTTACTCCCCTATTCCTTCCTGCCTGATTCCAATGCAATGTTGTGAAAAAGTGCTATGAATTTTTTACCTTTACTTTTTCAAGCAAAGTTTGGCAGGATTTAACATGTGATCGACTATGTATGTGTACCGTTTTCAGTACACGCTAAAAACGAATTTGTAAATTAAGTATAATTTATTCAATTAAGATACGATTATCTAAAAAATTATTTTTGTTACTTTGTTGCTACTTTGCACGTAGTAATGATATTAACAACATTATTTGAAGCATACACCGATTCGGGTACCTGTGGCGAAAAAAATATGTATTCTCTGATATAAACACAAATAAGCACTTTTGTGTGCACCGCAAACGGTACATGGGGCATGCAAATGTCATTTGATCATAAGTAGCTTGGCAGCGAACATTTGAAGATTAATTTTTGTTCTGAAATTTTATTTTAAATTTAATTTATGTTCGATGCAACTTTTTTTAATTTTAACTTTTGCTTTTATAAAAAAATGCAAAGTAAACTTTTTTTTAAAGATATTTTAATGAAATTCAGTACACCGGCATGATTTGGACCCAAGGACAAACGCTAGTGAAAATGGTTCAAAGCGAACCATTTCTCCGGCCACTCCCCATATAACACCTTCATTTGGAAATTTCGTTATATGAGTAGCTACATTAAGCAAAGTGGTGCAATGAAGGTCCGCCTCCCTCCCGCTGTAGTGGTTTTACTTTTTTCTATATAAGAAACTTTCATTCCGAATCTTCCTTACTTTTGAAAGAAAGTGTGGACAGAAAAAATATCTGTTGGAACAATGGTACTAATCATCATATGATGTATCGCAGTGATGGCTTATTATGGGTATAATTGATTCAAACTAGACTATAATTGATTTCGTTAAAGACTTCAGATAACATTAGAAGTGAGACTATAAAAGAAATATAAGGCTTCTTACTGAGCTTTGAACCGGGCTCCTTTCAGATGCATCGTTGTTACATCGTTGTGGTAGTCTTAATATCATAGCTTATGACACATGTGATGGAATAAGTTTTAAAAAGTACTGCAGTCAACCGTAAAGTTACTCAAAGCTAAAACTAATCCTGTATTATATCTTCAATTATTTAGCCTTTCTTAGTTATGAGAAATGAAAAATGAGAAAAGATGTTTGTATGAATATGTGACAGAAGCTTTGAACCGTCTGTCGCTAGTAGCTATTGCGGTGTACTATGTAAAATATCTCGCTTTTCCCTGAAGTTAATTTGAAAAGCGGAGAGATTAAAGCCTTAAGGTGTTATTTAATTAACTTTTTCACTTAAATTATTTACCTAAACATTATTTCGAAGAGAATAAATCCTTCCAATGTCATAATGGAGAATGAGTTTTCACACCGACATCGTTGTAACCAAGTTTGTTACCAATAATATAATTTTTGTATGTGTGTGTGTGTTTGTGCTATAACATTGCTTCTATTTGAAAATGGATTGGATTCAACACCCAGAATAACCATAAGTCGATTACGGGTTAAATTTTTTTGTTTTTTTTTTTTTTTTAATATTTTTTCATTCAGTTATTGTAAGACAAATATGAAAGAAGCATAAGAAAATGTACAACGATAAGTTAATTGTTTGCAAACTATATAACTAATTAGAAATTATTTACAAAGAAAAACTAAAGAAATAAAAAAAAAAAACAATTAATAATAAAAAGATTTAGGAAAAAAATTTCATTTGAAATACTTTACCAAATAAAAATTATTAGTTTAGGATTAAGAGATTACGATACGAAGGTTTTTTTTTTTTTTGGATCAAGAATATGTTAAATAAATTGAAATTATTCGATTATCTCAAATTACAATCAAAACTCACGATGCTGACAACCTGTTCATTCTGAAAAAAAGAGGAAAATAAATGAAAACATAAAAGAAGTAAAATACAAAATAAAATAAATATTAAATTAAAACAAAAAAACAATAATAATAATAATAATAATACATAAAAAAAGGTATAAAAAAGAAAAAAGATCGGTTAGGCAATTAATAATGGTTATTCGTAATTATAATTTTGTGTTTTTATTTTATAAAGAAATCAATCGAACGTATGTATAATAAATATTCGATTATAATGAAGCAAGGATGAAGGTAGGACGACCGATGGACATTATTAAGAGTCAAAATTTTCTAATTTGATTTTTATTTCTAGATTTGTATATACTTGTTCAACTTTGCTTTTCAACGACTCGATTTTTTCGCCATCTATGTAACATAATGACGCGCCGTTGTATTGTAAACGACTTATCAGACAAGGCAAAGTTTTTTTTTTTTTTAAATTCTCTTATGACTAACGTGTGAAGACTTTCCAAAGTTTCTCAGTTTATTTGCGTAACGGAACATATAGCGCTCATTCACGTCGATGTTCACCGTTATCGTAGGCTAACTTGCTTAACAAGCTTAGTTGGAAGCTAGCCCCTGTTCTCTATAACTGATTTGATTATATATATATAATGAATTTGAAAGATCAAGAGAAAGCAACGAAAACTTAATCACATAAAGGCAAACAAACGCGTAAATGGAAAGTGCGAGCCTTTCCGCAGAAAATCTTCATGCTTTGCTTAATAATTAAGAAAAATGATAATAAATTTCCGAAATTGTTCCTTATTAATAAAGTATTAAGAATTTTGTTTTTGTTTTTGGTTTTTTTTGTTAAGGAAAGAAAACCTACTGTTTGTTGTTTTTTTTTTTTTTTTTTTTTTTTTGTTTTCTCACATACCATCAATTGATAAACAGACAACGCATGCATACCTACACAATCACTGTTTTATATGTGAAATGAGATCACTTTGCGTTTTGTTTTTGTGATTTTTGTGGTATCTGCAGACAACACAAAACATTGTTACTTCCGCGAACAACCTTGACTCACATAATATTGTATTGTATTTCTATGACTTGTATACATACATACATACCATCCTAAAATGATTTTCTCACCTTTTTCACTCAGCTTACGAGCACACGTAACCTGATGCGGATTTATAACATTGTTGTTATGGTTATGAGTAGCATTGAATATGAATGGAGGATATATTATGGAGGCAGAGGCAGAGGAGGAGGAGAAGGAGGCGACATGAAGCAAAAGGTTAGTTATATTATACTCAGTTTATTATTTCATTTTATGTACTTTGTCGAACAAAGAAAGTAGACATGGTTCATGATCACTATATGAAAATTCCTATTTTTTCCTGTTTTTTATGTTACAGGCTTTTTTCATATTGTAAAAGACTGCAAGAAAATTAATAAATTTTTTTCATAAATCCCTTTATATAATACGAATATGAATAATTACGTATCACGAGTTGAAAGTTTTATTACACTCATCGATAAGCTTGATTGATTTATTTTAATCACATTACACAACCATTGATTCCTATGCAATATAAGAGAAGGGATGCTCAAATGCATTAAAGATCATCGATTCGAGACACTTTCGCAGAGAAGGATTTCTCGCCACACATTTCTTAAGATGATAAGACAATCGATGATATAAGGAATTTGCTTAATATGACATATGGGAGGGCCGTGCTCCTTAAATTGCAAAGTTTTCCATTTTTTTTTTTTTTTTTTAAACCATTCACTATAACTTTTCCTGCAGAGGGGATCGATTTCATATTTTTTTATTTTTTTATTTTTTTATTTTTATTTTTTTTTTTGATGATGATTGGCAGATGATTGATTTTTATTTCTAGTGAGCTACCTCTTCGATTGCTAGTGTTTCTTCTAATTGTGTCTGATTGTGCGCGCCTACCTTTTGCCCGAGGCAATACGTAATCGGGCAGGAAGCAAGAGATCTTATGGGAAAATGAACATAAAATCAATTTCCCTTTTCCTGCCTGAGAAAACTTATGTTAACAATCCACTAAACTTGTGTCCATGACCTTTCGGATTCTCGTTTTCGATTTAACTATGCAAAATCATAAATAAATATTGAAAATTTGTCATATCATCCGAGATTATATCTGTATGAAGGCATCGTTTCTTTTTTTTTTTTTGTTTTGTTTATAATTAAAAATCAATAATGACCTGCATATCAAACAATGCACTAATTTGGTTATATAGATATAGATATATGTAAACATATGTCTATCGCTAGACAACATCACATATATATTGCATCCAATGCCTGAAAAGATCTTTTGTTTGCCTTTTCCAATTATTACGAAATTTGTGATAATTAATTACTTGTGCAAAACATTTGCTCTAATCATAACAGTTGTCACAAAAACAAAAAAAAAAAATAAAAAAAGAACGCATTAAAGAATGCGTACAAAAGTGATTACTCAGGCAATTATGCGAGAGAATTACTGCTTTTCGATAAATGCATTTATTCACTACACATATAGGCATTGTTTTTTCCTGGCGTTAACCCAATTAACTTTTGTGTTTAATGTTTAGCAACATACGAAGCAAACAACCATGAAACGTAAACCATGCATTCATTCTAACTTTATTTTACTGCAACAAGTAGAGAACAAGAAAGTAAAATATATTTATGCGGCTACTTGGGACTATAGCATGAATATGTCGCGAGATATTTAATTGTTCAAATAGATTGACGATCCGTTCATTGGATATATCGATCGTATATCCTAGACATTTTAAATTATATTTTTGTAAACGCCTTTGAGAAAACATTCTTCCTGGCACGCTCAGGATTACGAAACGCAGCTTTTAGGTTGTAGTCTGCGGGCAGACGGAAGGACATGTGTAAATAAATTTCCTGCGACATACATTCCGTGCGAGCATATAGAACTTATAAAATCAACGATAATATATATTTCTATATTTAGATGCATTCAATGTATAAAATGTAGTGCGTATAGCAAGCGCCGTCCCAGAACCCTTTACCCATTGATTGATTCTGTTCGAGAAAATTACATTGTATTAAGAGTGCTATCACAACGTATGAATGAATAGTCAATACCGCCATATAATGACTTTCCTGTGTCATCAATGCCATTGTAAACGTTTATACAGTTACACGTAAGAATAACTGATTCTTTTTATTTTTCTTTAATTACATACTGTGTATATATATGTATGTATGTATGTATGTATATAATTCTTAACTAAGTTTATTTCCGTCATTTCTATATAAATCATTAGTGGTTCACGTTTATGGTGCAGTTTGTATTCATTTTTTACTTTCTTTTCGCCCCAAGCACGCTTATGTAGTTTATGTTAACAAACAACAAGTCGCACAAACGTACGTGGCTATGTAATTTCATATTTATATATGTTTGTAAAAAAAAAAATAAAAAAAAAAAAAAAATTTTCCTCTGATAGTGTGTTCCTCTTCGTCATAATTCTCCTTAAGTGATTATCGACTGACTTGTAAGAGAAAATGTCTGCAACCTTAACGCCTATGTTGACATGATATTATTAGGTCATATTGAAAAGTCTCCGCGGTTTCGTTTTGTAGTTTCCAAACTGTCATGTGGTTGATGCTTAGTGCCTTTCGCTATTTCCTGACAGCATGCATGCTGGTCTTCTGGATTTGCCGGCTGCAAAATTCCATCGACTTTTTCCATGACTGCGTAGTGCATCTTTGACATCGAAATTTCTGGAACGGAATCGAGCAAATCACACCAGAATTTTTCCTTCACTTCAGCATTCTTGCCGTACACTTCACAGTTTTTTTTTTTTTTGCAACGTTTTCATCTTTTTTATAGTAAAAAATCATCACATAGCGTATTTCTTCAGATATTTCACTCATTTTCAGATCAATACAACTTTTTACATCAGCGATGATTTCGAAAATTATATTCACAGACTGAAAGGTCACATTTTAAGCACATGTTCGCTTCAGACAATCAGGTGAATGGTGGCCGATCGATAGGCATCAACGCTCTCCCGCGGATAAAAACGCGGAGACTTTTCAATATTATGAATACTATTATGAATCCTTTGAATGTTCTCTTAAATAATTTTTTTAAATAAATAAAATTTTCATTTAATTAATAAACTTTTTTACATGTCTTTATTTTTAATTTGGGGGAAAAAAAAAAAAAAAAAAAAACAGAGAATTCATTACATTAGGTGTTTGCAAGCATTTTGATCATTTTTTCATTCGAAAAAAGCATTTAGTGAGAAAGATTTGGTGCAACGTATGCTAATCGAAATATTTTCCATAATTTCCTACAACATTTTGCAATATTTTTGGCAACATGGAGATATCATGTCGAAAGAACTTGTATTGCTTTGGCAGCGATCCATCCACCGATCCATCCATCTCGCACGTCTTCAATTTTGCGGACCCGCGTGCCGGCGAAAACATATTGCACCGATTTGAACAAGTGGTCATTAGGCGGCGCCAGTTCTGATGGGTGCGATGGACACGGCAGAACTTCTCATTCGAGCTGCGCATCAATGCATCCTCGACAGCTCTTGCAACAAGTGGCCAAAAAATGGGCAGGCAGTTTCAGGCAATTCGTGTCGCCATTTCTAAACTGTTGAAATCAAAATCCACAATTGGAATGTGATGGGGCGGCATCACAACAAACCTCTGGTTCTTGGCTGCATCAAATAAACAAGAAAAGCAATAAATTTGGAAGAGAAGAAGAATTTCGAACGCTCCATAATTAGCGTCAGTGTACGCTGAATAAATCAATAAAATTAAATGGAAACCTGTTATTTTATGTAGATCAAGGTCAATCAAAACAATCGAATTGAACCCCTTATGTACACTGGCATGTCCCATTTCCCGTACAAGTCAAGTAATCAAAATTTCTGCAAATACATATCTAATAACTTACATCCTATTAATATTATACCGATTTTCAACAATTAACAATCAATTTACACGTGGCACGGATTTGGACAAAGCGTTTGTCACAAACTGTGCATTTAATTGCATTAACGGTTATTAACCTAATAAGATTTATGCCCAATGTGCAAAAACTTATATAGACGGAAGTAAATGGTATCCGCGGTAACGGCATTGTATCGGAACGGATGTTACTTTTAACTTAACAGCGAGCAGCGAGCAGCGAGCAGCGAGCGGCGGCAATAATTAGTGTTAATGCTTAGGAAAGCAATGTAATGCTAAATGAAAACAAAAAGTCTAAGGATATTATTTAACACGTTAAGGACGGCGCAGTTTTCCCTATTTCGCATAGGCATTCGCTTGTGAGCCACCGGTGGTACACGCCGTCCTTAACGTTTCTCCAGTTCCTTAGAATCTTGCCATAGATTCTCCCCAAGATATTCGTTTGCATTCTTCGAGGTTATATCGTAACACTGAATGCGTCCTTTTTATCAATACTCGCTTTCCATACGGGAGTCATTATCAACATCGGCGACAAATAATTGAGTATTTTGCGATACAATTCGAATTTTAGTACACACTACGCAAATTTCCTGTACGCGTAAACGTATAAAAAAAAATGTAAAAAGTTAAAAATATATTGCATCTGCTGACTACATGAGTTTGTTGAGTCGTGAATCCCTCCTGTTCTACGGGCAAACTAGAAGAATTAAATGTCTCGTATAGGTAAAGAATCCAATTAATAAAAACGAAACTCGACGAGCGAAGCTATTATATATGCATATGTATTCAATATAGAGCAATCAGTTAGAGAAAGTCTCTTATTCTATGAAATGTAAAAAGAAAAAGAGACAGGGAGGTTTTAATCACAACCTGGTGGATCTTTATCCAGTCGGTAAGCGTGATGCCTTCACCAAGTGAACATTAACTATAGCTACAATCAAAGTAAACTCTGATAAACTGGTTAACGGATAAAATCATTTTGAACTCATAAGCAATTATAATCAATAATCATAGCGCCCTTCTTTGGAAAAGCAATTGTTCAGCGGTCATAACACAAGCCTCCTTTCGGTACAGATAAGATTAGCTGTGTAACGAAAACCATAGTTTTAGAAGTAACATTCAATTAATCATAAAATTGACAGGCTTTCATACGGATAACAATAATGTCCCCAAGTTTCCAAATATACTGTGGATAATGCAGCCTCGTCATAGATGAAAAATTAATCTTGAAATGAAACACCAAGCAGAAGAGAGACTACAACTGGATCTATATTTCAACACTCAAGCATGTGAACATAGACGTAAGGCTACACATTTTTCAGAAAACACGCAATCGAAAGCAAATGGGGAAATGTGATCAAATTACGTTAGAATCTGAAAGTTGTCTTGAGAATTTAGTCTAGATTATCTAGTTTAAATACATTACATTCATTGAAAAGTTTAATTAAAGAGTTTGTGTATCAACTAACTGAACTATTATTGTTATTAGCGGCTAAGTGTTAAATATAAAATCTAGGCACGTTTTGAGAATCTCATAAATATCTATGCGCAACAAATTGAGAGTGAATTTAGCTGCCGTACACTTCAGATGATTATAAACAAAAATATATGCTCAATCATTACTAAATATCGTGTAGTGAAAATATAAATAAAAATGAAAAAAAATAAATAAATATATATATATATATACATATATATATATATGTATATATATTTACCTTTTCCGACATGACCATGTTATTGTCATCAGTGCCGTAGACGGTTTCAGCGCCAGGCTGAGGTCCACAATTGTTGAGCATCGTATCGTCGTTATCCATTTTATTGCAATCACTTTAATTTAATCACAGAAAAAATACACTTGCAGAATCACACGCCCACACTTACAAATCTTTTTGAAAGCTTTAGAACCCAATTGGAATTGTGCAAAAATAAAAATATACAAATTGCAATGGGAAATTACACACCCCCTTTTTGTAGCCCACACTTTTTCTTTTTCTTTTTTTTCTTCTTCTTCTTCTTCTTCTCTCCCTCTCTTTCTATTTTTCTTTTCCTTTTATCCGCTTAACACGCTAAAATTTCAATTTTAAATTAAAACGCGAACGGGGGCTGTGACGCCCTCACAAGGCAAGCATCTTTGCCAAGGTTTGTTATATATGTGAAGCGAAGCGGATTTCTATAAAATATTTACAACATTATCCAAAACTTCTATATAAAGCGTTATAAAGTGCCGTATAATATTTCCCAAATTTCTCAATGAAACAAAGTGTTGTAAAATGCAGTATAACTCTCTAAAGACGGATAGATTAGAGCGATATTTAAAATTTACTTTCTTTCAAATTAACTGCTATCGTTGTTTTTGGTGTTGCTGTTGTTGTTGTTGTTGTTATTATTATTATTAGTGGCGCATTCATTATCACTGGCATTTGTTGCAATTTATGTACTGCTGACGAATCTTTGTTTTCGTTGTGATTTTTTTTTTTTTTATCTTTCTACTCACGATAGTTGAAAACAGATTTTATGTGTTTCTTTTCACTTTTCGCTCCACTCTCAACAGACTTGTGTTAAAACATATATTTTACTTGGTGTCCTCGTTGTTTTGTAAAAGGGGTGAGGTAGGGGTAGAGAGGAGAATAAAATTATGACTAGAACTTTATTGGTTTTTCACTAAACCTATATTCATTGTAGACCTTTTGATATAATTTCATTATTCTTCGTATAAAATTACATATGATTACGATTTCAATATTTATGCATTTTCCTTTTGATATTTGTGAATTTTTCAATAATTAATTTCACTTTTATAATTGTGCACACATTAAGAAATATATTGCAAATAATGCGTATGAAGATTCGAAAATTTCTTTGATATAAGAATACGTGAACGAATCGGTAGAGAGTCAGAGAAAACTAAATTTTCTTTCTTTTTGACATTTATACGATTGACGTTGCAAACAAACAGATGGTTTAAATAATTAGCGAGCGAGGTTAACAACACATGTATAGTTAAACAGTAGTAGAATAAAAAAGTGGTAACATACTCAGATAATTCCTTTTAAGATTTCTGCCAATATTCAATAATTAATTTCAAGTTAATCCAGTGCGTTATTACGAAAGTAGAATAACTTGGGTTTTTTAAATATTTCATTAAAATGCCGACTACATCGAGATAAGCTAAACTCAAATATTGTGCTAAGCTCACTTATTACAAGTGTGTCACCTACTTATTTATGGGAAATTTGGTTGCTGTGAGTTACAGCTTTTTTTTTTTTTTAATTTCTGCATATACTCTCTCTTTCTCTCTCTCTTTCTGTTGGTCTAAATAAGTTTTTTGCTGATCAAGTTTAAGTATATTATTCTTATTGTCCTTTACTACCCAACTCCACTTGATCTATTTTCATCAACTCCAATAGTCATTTCTAAAATAAAAAACGGTTTTTTCTGGACATTTTCATTACAATTTTCCAATATATTGAAATTTGAATATTTTTATTTAAATTTTGTTAGTGAAATGAATGTAAGACGATTAAAATTATTAATTGAAATAAATAAATTTAATTCACAAAATTAGAAATTGACGAAACAAAATGGTTTTTTCTTTTTTCTGTGACCAGCCACTCAGAAGATGTCTCCTTTATATGACGACCGGTGTTGGCGCGGTTGAAAAGACTACTGGTGCTAGGTTGTACCAAAGCCGGGCATAATGGTTAAAAAACGATGAGTCGAGCTAGTGTGTTGAGTTGCGTACACACAACCCCCTGAATGCGAAAGGTTGACCGAAACAATTAACAAGTCATCGAGGTGGCCTTACACTGGCCTACAATACCAGTTAACTCAAAGTTAATTAAACTTAGAGTCTTTGATAAATCGGATCTTTATTCGATTTTCGATAAGTCGCGATTAACATTCAGCTTGTTTTTTCTATGCGCCTGAAAAGCTTCCCTAAGCCCTAAATGTATCTAATTTTATATCTGTCCTATGTATGTATGTAACTACGCTGCTTTTTCTTCAGCGTCTTTCGTATACGCGAGCATTTGTCCTTAGATTTATCTACTCGCAAGTCTGTCTATCTCTTGTCAAATTCTGAAATTCACAAGAAATAAATTAAAAAGATGAAACGCTCTTGCTATAGGTGACGCCTTCGAAAGCGATGACAGATTAGCCAAGAGGAGAGGCTGAAAAACTATGACAGGTCAGGAAACTTGCTGTTAGGAGGATTGCGCAGGACAACGACTTGACAAACGTAGCGTCCACAATTACGAAAAAATTTTGAAAGTGTTATATATTTACCTGAACTGGCTTGGGTCCAAAATGCAAGGCAAATGCAACTTACTATAGTTACGTACTTCTTTTCTTATCTGTTCGAGTATCCATCCGTTCGTTAGTGATTATGTTTTCAAGTCTCTATCTATTCGAATATTTTCATGTCTGTACATCGTTTAATTTCTATTCGAAATTCGCAACGATTTCGATAGACAGCCGAAGTCTTATAGAAAGATAGGAACTTTCAATCAACCATGTATATACGTCGATTCATACATTGATTCGTCTGAACTGTTTACCCTCGCCAGAAAAAAAAGAAATCAAGATCTTTATACATGCTTTGGCCGAACAAAGTTTTCGATTATTTTCTTAACTTATTGATTCCCATATATTCGATCAATACTTTCAAGAGTTAAAAAAAAAAAAATCCCTTCCTACCAAAGTTCCAAAAACTATATATCTTATAAACTTGTCCTTTGACGCTAAATAATTCCATAACAAGATATCCAGTGACATGGAATCACATGATCAAGGAAGGCCAATTCTGATCAATGAAATAAGAGAGTGCACGACCAGGTTATGTCTCATGCAATAATTAAAATATCTCACGAGATGCATGGCATGACCGAATGTCGTCATTCAATTTATGCAGAAAAAGATGGATTATCGACCAGACTTGACCAACCGCCCTTTTCGAAGAACTAGTACAATAAGTATTTCTATGAGCAATATAAGCATGAAACTCACCAGCAACGTGAACCTGAAGGCATCAAGAATCTTTATAAATGCATGCAATGTGAAAGGTTTTATAGCCCGGAAAGCACCCTGAAAGCTCATATTCTAGTCAGTCGATTAAATCAAGGGGTGTACATACAATGGCTTGAGTTTTTCGCTCGGCAAAAAGTAAACGCTAGTTAAATTTTGTGCTTGACCACTCTCTTCTTCTTCTTTTCCAGTAAGAATTGGCCGTCTTCCCTGACAAGTTCTGCTCTTAGGTTCCTACTACGTACTTGTATCAACGGTTTATGGCGAGCAAGGCATTGGTCATGTTATAGTTTGGTATGCATTGGAACGATAGAGTCGGAAGATTGGTGTTTATGGATGGCGTTGTAAACACGGAAGGTTTTTCTTATAAGATATATTTTCAAACTCGCAAATAATTGGGATAATTTGAAAAAAGAAACTTCCACTCTTAGAAATATTCATAAGTATTCATAAATAAAATCGACTTCCGTATGTAATTAAAATTTAAATAGCTGAGAGTAAATATTTAATCTTTAGAAAGATTTCTTTTTCGAGCATTGTACGACAATTTAAAATTGTATTTAGTATTTGCCACACAAAAGCATAGATAAAACCTGATCTAAAAAAGAACTGTTTGTTGTGTGCTTCGCAGGTAAGACGAGGATCTTTCGCATTGAAAATATCATAATGTTCAACAATCTGTTCATAATCTTGTAATAAATAATTGTCGCCTAAAGCATGTCTTCGATAAATGAATTTATTTCATGCGTTTTTTTGCCATCTGTATGCAAATACTTCTTAAATTTCATTTGCATGACTGAAAAACGACAAAGACTAATTCGCAATTACATTCCACAACAGTAAGAGCAACAAACTTGTTCTTGTATTTTCTAAACCAAACTTAAAAGAAGACATTTTCAAGAATATTTACGTTAAGTATATAAATTACGACTTTTATACAATTTAAATTTTATTTTATAATCAAAAAAAATAAAAAATGTTAAGCATTTCATGGAAATGTTACGAGGAAAGAAAAATTATAAAGTTGCAGACCGTATAAAAAACACGTTCGACAGACATATAATCCATATTTCTCACTTATTGTCTCTGGACTAGTAAAAAAATGATTTACAAAGCGAACATTTTTGTGATTTAAAAATTATTTACAATACTTTACGCCCGCTTTCGCAAACGCCTTTTGCGAAGCTTATCTAAGACTAAATTTCCTATTATTCCTTTGATGCCATGTGTCCCATAAGATTACTTGTAAATTTCTCGATTTTCTTTAAATCTGGCATATTTTCTGCCTTGAATTGAACACACTGCCAAAGAAAAATAATTTAATTATGATTGGATAAATAAAGAAATACGTTACCTTAGCATTATCAGTCATTTTTAGCAATATTTGACCCTTGCTGTGAATATATTTCATGGTATAACGACACGCCATCGGATTGGCCATATACATATTTTCCGCAGCTATCTCAAAATCTTCTAAGCTTTTCACAAATACCATGATTGTTTATTTTTTTTTTAGTATCTTTTCAATTAACTTTAATAGAAATGAGATGAAATGAGAAAATTATATTTTCCTTTTTTTTTTCTTTTTGATGTCGTGTTATAAATACGTCAATTTTGACATATTTTTTATGTTGATTTAATTTTTCGAGCAGTGTTGACAACATCTATTATATGCGCTTATATATGATGATTGAGAACAGAGTTGCATTTTTTAAATTATTTTAGCTTTATAAACAGATCTCGCTAGTTGAATAAAACTTCTTCAAAATAAAATACATTTTATATTATGAAGAGAAAATTATATGTTTTGCTTCAAATAAAACTTCAAATGAAGATAAAACATTAAAATCCTGTACAAGTTAGGGTGAATAACTTGATTTTTGATTGCCGGCATCAACTTCTCTTGTTGTGGTAAAGGAGTTTCTGAAAATGCATTTAATTACATTTTGAAAAATACAACTAGTGCACAGATACAATCATATTTATGTTAAAAAATAATCTTGAAATAGAGCAATTTAACAACTGATTGATTTGAATTTGTCTTAAAGGATAGCCTTTTGTGAGTGTTCCTTCAAAGCAAAGGTAAATTTGTTGATTATATGATGAGTGTTTTTAAAGTAAATGCAATTTTTTATTTACAATTTTTAGATATTTTCCGTAATCTGTAAAGTTGTTCTTTTTTTCACAGTCTTTAGTTATTTCCAATTGACGTACGACCTCATTTCGAATTGGCATTAGACAGGAAGGCAAACTTTGCAAGTCGATGTTCAAATAAAATTTGTACTATTGTATCCATCGTCAAAAGATCGGGGCAGATTTACTATTCTGCTTATCGCAGTCAGTTTGTTTCTCCATCCGTTAGTTGAAATGAATTTGAAAAATAATTGAATTTAACAGGACGGAGATGTTTTTCTACAAAATTTACGGACCAAAGCATTACTTCAACATGTAATAATTTAAACGAGCTTTCCTTTTTTATGGTGCATATCAATTGCGTGTATTAAAGACGCGTATTGCAATTAACTTAATGCTCACGATTCGTCTCCGCCGGCAAACCATATAGACCACTTGTAGGTAAATAAGCGAAATTCTTGCCAACAAAAAGAAGAAACCATCCAACATACGTGTTTGTGAACATAAAGCGTAATTTCCGTCAAATTGAAATGGAAAACAAACCGCCAGCCAACCGACATAACTAACAAAATAACAACAAACAAATAACAACAAAATAGCAGCGAAAACTATGGTAAGTGATAACTAAACGTAATGGCTTAATGTTTTAAACGGCTAGTGGTATAGAACTTTCAAAATATAAGAGCTTTCAAAGCATTTATTTGAAAGTGTGAGAGATAAACGGTGAAATGAACGAATGCATGCATGCATGTAGCCATATGCTCTTATATGTACAAAAATTCCCCTATATATATATATATATATATATATATATGTATATGTATATATCCGCATTTATTGTGAAAACTAACAAATACTTAATACTTTGTTTACCCATTAGTGTGTTTTTCTTTTAGTTGCTGTGTGCTGTTTAGGTATACATGTGTGTCTGTTGATTTAGATTTTTTTTTGCTAATTTTCTTGCAATTTCCTTCGTTGTTGTGCTGATTTCGTGGATAAGTGCAGTAGTAACATAAGTATATAGTATATATATATGTATAGTATACGTAAACATGAGTGGATTAGTGATAAACTGCTAATAGGAGAGTTAAATGGCAGTAAGATGCCAAATTGTGGTTGAGTATATTATATATGTATATATATATGCATACGTAAATATATACGTACGTACGCTTATACAACTAAATGAATAGGTAAGCGTATAGATGCCGTATATGAACAGCAGAGAGAAGAACTTAGAAAGAGAAGCTATAACTTAAAATGCAAACTTCACTCCAGCGTGGATCTGTAAGTGAAAACCAACGAAATTGTTTGTTGTTTTCTTTTAAGTGGCCAAGAATCTCTTCTTTCTTTTTCTTTTCGTTTTTTTTTTCAGCTACTTCTATCCTATCCTATGCGATATACATATATATGTATAGATTGGTACAACATTTATTTAGTGTATTGACTTTATGGGTTACCACCGCATGGCAGCGAAGATGCAAACATACTTATACATAAATATACATCAATTTATGCTGCTTAGGTTTGTAGATTTTGGCATTTTTGTAAATCTATAAAATAAAGAAAAATACTCTTTTTATTATTTGCTTTTAAATTATGGTTAGTTTGCCTTCTATCGTATTTAATGCCAATAATGGTTGATTTGTCAATTGTGTTCATTTGTTCATCTTTAGCAAGCATTCCTCACGCTGGCAAAGGATCATATTGTGCCAGTTATCTAACTTTTATGATTCACTTATAAAACATGCCCCAAAGATCCATTAAGATATACAATACATATAGTCCTAGTCTAGGCAAGATTCTGAATCGATTTACTGATGATAGACAAAATTGATAAGCATTTCCTTAATGTAGGAAAATCGTGACAATGGGCTGATAAACACCACCCAACTACATCTGAATGAATGAAATTTTTAAATTTATTTCGGAGCTGAACATATCTGACTAGCAATTAAGTCAAGAGCTTTTACGATTTTTACCTATTGCTTTCGTGGCGAAAGGGATTTTATTCGGCTTTTCTTGCCACTACCACTAGAGGATAAATGCAGAAATATTTTGAGGAATGTCCGACCAGATCTCGGAAACTCGTAGATTTAATTTAACTGATGGGTATCCACTATTCGAGATGAGGCAAATTTATTTCTTTATTGTACATTTACATGTGTATGTGACGTGGAGTACGATAAGCTCATTTGGCGCCATTATGACACTGCGCCAAATATAAATTTTTATTAAATTCCATTTTAATGGTAATTGATTTTGCAGTTGTAAGTATAATGTTTTCTTCGTTCCTTTTTAGAAATTTAAGAAAAAAGAAATAGAAACACGAAAGAAATACTATTTGCTTTAAAACAATTTTGTTCATGTTCACGGTGTGTGTGTGCTTGTACCGAAAAATCAAGATGCTCTACAGTAAACATGTCTTTTCTTCTTTGTAACAATCAGAGACTACGACATGAGACGTATGTATATATGGATGTTAATGATTGGTGTGCGATTTTAAACTAATTTAGTCATGGTCGTCCGGTCGATGTTCGATTTAATCTTTTTGTATGTTTATCAATCGAGCGTTGGGGGTTGAATTAAGCTCAGTCGATATGTTTTCAGAATGGATTTAGAAAGGGTCATGATCTGTTCACGGGAGCTCGTTGAATAGGTAAAAAAGCAAACGTGGCACTTTTTCGGCTTGGTCAAGTGACACGCCTATAATTGTCTAAATACTCTGCAATCGTTGTATATTGCTCTGATGTGTTGAATGTCGAAGGTTCGATATAATGGGTTGGGGCATAACTATCAGGCGTTTTTGAACACTGTTTCTTATGCAAACGGAAACATAAATATTTGAAACAATTAATCCGAAGCGTAGTCACCATCAACTTCAATAACTCTCTAACTCTCTTATTGAGATCAAAAGTGCCCGGTCGTTGAAATCCTATGATCGACCTCTTCCTAACTAGTGTCGCCAGATTCGAAACTGGCAAACTATTTCCTCCATTGAGTTTCGCCGATTGTGACATCATCAAAATGTGTTCGTTGAGATGACGAAATGACTGCGGCTCGTTTAGTGGTACACCATAATATGACGAATATGAGTATGATTATCGGCATGCATTCTATATATAACCTGAAAGGTGTAGGTAGCTTGACGCAATCTATCCGTTCTAAAAACTTTTCAATTAACCTAATAATTGCCGCGCGCCTGCTAAGTCCAAGTCATTGAAACACAATTTAAGAATTCAATATTTAATTAATTGTTTAAGTAATTAAACATTTAAATTATATATATTTTATTTGCTTTAAAATTCCCTGTATGAATGCATGTACGTTTGCCTATATACATTTATGTGTGTGTTTGCCTGCCTGCATTTTATTAACATTTTCAAATACAAACATTCTCTTAGGAAAACGATGATACTGAGAAGCTTTTATACTATGTATATTTGATTGTGTGTATGTGTGTGTGTGTCTGTGTATATGAATGATGATGTGACAGTAAGTAGATTTACAATGACTTTAGAGTAAAGAGTATATTTAACACTTAATAAGTCAATAAACAAATATTGACTATACAATGAAAGATATACATATACACTCATACACACACTTAAATATTTAGTCACTCGCTGGGTTGCTCGGTCGTTCAATCGCTCACTTATGCTTATTCGTTTCTCACCATTGACACACAAACGTGCAGGTACATAAATCGTTTCCCACATCAGCAAATTATAAGTTAAAATAAATGCATTTCTATTAAAATATCTCCTCTACTACTAGTTATTGCTTTTTCTGATCACTACTTACTTCGCATCGCATCGCATCGCATCGCATCGCATCGCATCGCATCGCATCACTATCTATCTTATCGCACTTTACCCTTACGATTCATTTTGTTTGCATTTTAAATACAGAAGCTCGCCTCCATCTATCCGTACTTTGCAGAAATTTCATAACAGTAGCCTGCCTCTCTAATGCATATCTACCTGGATCGATCTTTGTGTGTTTATTTGTTTATTTTGCCCAAAACTCTTCAAACACTTCAATCTTCATCTTCACTTCTGGTTGTCTAATGGACATAAGAAAGCAAAACAAGTTTGTGTTAACTAACCATCATCGTCATCATCATTATCATCATTATCATTATCATCATCATTATCGTCCTCATTATTACTCTCAGGCATGGCATTTAAAGTGCAAATAATGCATTTAAATATACATCATTGTCACCCCGAAAAGTCGGCTTTACTGTCTTATGCTTTTGATCAAACTAAAGTGTATTTACACGTATTTATGCCTCTATTACCTCTTAATCCGCTTTGTCCACAAACGGAAGAATTTATTTGTTTTGTATAAGAAGATGTCTAAGAACACAGTAGTTCGTGTCCTCTGTGCATGTATATAATAATAAAAGATGAATA